CGGGTGCCTGTAGTCCCAGCTACTTGGGAGGCTGAGGCAGAAGAATCGCCTAAGCCCAGGAGTTGGAGGTTGCTGGAGTGACTCCGCTGCACTCTACCGAGGGCAAAAAAGTGAGACTCTGTCTCTATGAAAAAAAAGCCTACACTTCAAAAGGAGGGCAAGGGAAGAGAAGGCTTCTTGGAGGAGGCAGCATTTGAGCTAGGTTTTGAAGGCTGAACATGCAGAGTTGGGGTGGAATCTAGAAGGCTGTAAGGCTGATGAGAGCAGCTTACTTGGCAATATGCATGTGTGGAAAAGCTCAAAGGGGAAACTGTCTTAAGCTTTGAAGGACAAAGGATCAGACTTCATTCTGTGGACAGTAGAGAGACATGGAAGGTTGAAGAGGGCTGAGTCCTGGGGGAGTGCACTGACTGGGTGCTCAAGCCTCCTGGTACCCAGGTCCCTCTCTTCAGATGCTGATCTTGGCTCTGGGTGGGTGGGGTTTTGCAGCTACTCTGGAATCGCCTCTGCTGTCAAGGGCAAGAAATCAGGTAAGTCTCCATCTGTGCCTGTGGCCACACTCACTCAAAGGCAAACCTGCTAGGCTTTCTTGCAAGAATATTTCACTCAGCCTCATAGGTGCTACCTGGGAGAGGAGACACATAGCTCCTACCTGGCTTCCCTTAGTCCAGTGGCCCTTACCCCACTGAGAAGGGCTTCCTACTATGTAGCTTTAATCTCTCCTGCTGGCCTCTTGATACTCTGTCCCAGATCAGATTCTCCCATTAGCCACCTACTGTTGCTGTGGTCAGTCTACCAAAGCCACTTGCCCTCACTCCTGCTGAGGATGACACCAGGGCCTGGTCATGGCACTTTGAGGCCTGGCAGTAGGGATCCCCAGAGCAGAAAGAATGCTAGGTGTCTTTCCCCCTCCACTGCCCATCCCCATGCAGTGACCACAACGGCTGGCCCCATGGCCCGGGATGTGGAGAGCCTGGCACTATGCCTTCGAGCCCTGCTGAATGAAAACATGCACCATCTGGACCCCACTGTCCCTCCCCTGACCTTTAGGGAAGAGGTGAGCTGGTTCGGGGAATAGACAGGGGTAAACACTCCCCTTCCCTCCTGTCATTCCTCACTTGCCTGTCTGCACCTTACCATCTCCTACAAAGACCTCGTTTCCCATCCTGGGGTGCAGTGAGCAGGGAGCCCACATGCTCAGTCCTGTTTGTCTCCCACCCCTGCTGGATACCAGCTGCTTTGGCTTCTTGGCTATCTGGAGCCATAGCTATAATTGCCTTTAAAGAGAGGCATCATATGCCCAACACACCAAGCAGAATACTCAGCAGGCATGCTTCAGAGAGCCTGGTATCTAATTAAGCTGAGCTCTTAACCCTCTAGGTAACCCTAGCTGAGTCAGGTCTCCTCTCTGGGCCTCAACCTCCCCATCAGCACAACAGAGAGGTTAGACTGGAAGATCACTCCAGGCTCTTCCAGCTCTAACAGCCATTATTTATTTATTTATTCACTTTTATTTTATTTTATTTTTTGAGACAGAGCTTCAAGCTGTCCCTCTGGGTAGAGTGCTGTGGCATCACAGCTCACAGCAACCTCCAACTCCTGGGCTCAAGTGAGTCTCCTGCCTCTGCC